CATGAACTTGCTAAATAATTCATATCCAATGCCAAACAAATGACTTTTTAATACATGAAACAAAATTCTAAATCATTTTTTCGATTAGTAGAAATGTTCTTTTGTATTTAAATAATTTAGTAAAGTAGAGCAAAATACTACATGCATAAGTTTAAAAAAAATAATGTATATGCAATTTTGGACGTTTTGTGTTACTTATTGATCTAAATTATATAATTTCATCTGCCAAACGTAGATTGAATATTATATTGTTTTAATTTCGGGCACATCTCAGCTGCTTTTTGGCAATAATATTGAAGATATCACATTTTTCTTATTCAGAATATGGATATTGTATACTATTGCCCAGGCTCGCTTGAACTAAATTCAAATTTCAGGTGAATCGACATTTTTGACACATGACAGTTCTCATGTATGAAAATGTTTTCAATGTCAAACGATGATATGTTGTTTTTTGCAATTTTTTTCATTTATTTCTACAATATTACTATATTTCTATAATCACAACATCCTAAAAAAACTCCAGAAACATTTATCAAAATCCGAATAATTGTTTAGGAGGAGTATATTTACATACATCATTTTATATATAAGATATATGTATATATATATATATATATATATATATACATATATATATATAGAGTTTTATGATATGAGTGCTTTTTTTTATTAAACAAAATATATATATATATATATATATATATATATACTAGCAAACCCGACGAACTCCGTTTCGCCACCAGATGGTTTCGTGAGAAAGATGAAGAATTTTTTTGTTTGTTTTATATTTGAAAAGGAAAAATTTGATTTTATTACACAACAGTAACGAATTTATTTCGATTACAAAAATGATGTGTTTTCTTAGTTGAACTTCTCTGAAATGAAAGTGAATCCGCAAATTATCCGTTACATTGAAGTGCTCTTTGGTAAACCACATTTTTTGTTTTTTGTTCTGACGTTAACACAAACAAAGCGGATGGTTTTCCAACTCGTGAATAGGCAACGTATAACTGCCCATGTGAAAAACAATGATTTCCTAAATGATTTATTTGAAATTTATCCCGCAAACACTAAGCGGTTGGACTTGTTATTGCGAACGCAAGGCGAACTGGAAATTGCTATCGTTTGAAGTCAAACGGAAGACCAGTCGGAATCATTGGTATGTCACCAAATCGCCAGCAATTTTTGATTGAATGGTGAAATTCAGTGCGTGTACATCATTATTTTTTTACGGCAAGAATTGCTCGTTGACTTAACCAAGCATAATTCTGATAATTCTCACTAATGTCATTACTCGAATTTTTAATTACGGTGCGTGAAGTTCGAGCAATTTGCATTAAGGCACGATGCCATACACCAGAAGCACTAATTTTCTTAGCTTTAGACCTTGCGGAGCCCGAGACCTTTCCAACGAATGCAAAATTGTCGAAATCGGTCCGGGAAATGATAAAAAATTATCGTATATTCGCTAAATTTATCTCATTACAACAAAATTTAGTAAGCTAATAATTAAATAAGCTGAAATATGAATCAAGGCAATATATCAATTTCCCATCGAATGGGTTTAACTTTCGCCAGAGTTCAATATTTACATTATCCCACAATCGCAAACTATGCACGAATCTGCATTCTGTTCGTTGGTTCCAAGTCGCTGGATTAGGACCAACACCATATCAGAATTTATTGCAGCAGATAACAGTGTAATCGTGTTGCTGCTTTAGTTTCAGCAAATAAATAGTGGATCTAATACGATCCGGAGCCGCAGCCACAGTTGCTACTTCTAGAGAAGAGGTCATATGAATCACGACACAGATATTTGTTTTCGAAACTAAAAGATAGAAATTACAGATATTTTTTGTTCATAGAATTTATGATATATATATATATATATATATATATATATATATATATATTAGGGTGGTCCTTAAAATGGCAATTTTCGAATTTCCTTGCTCCCAGGGGCTCAAATGGTTCCAAATTGATAAAAAACAATTCTCTGAAAGTTTTAGCTCTTAATATTAACGTTTACATAGAGCGCGATTCAATCAAAGTTTTGTATGGAAAGTGCATGGAAAAATTTTCAAAAGTACTGGGATGTATGTGGAATATTGTACAAATAAATAGAAAAAATTAGAAAAACGACATGTCATTGTTTGCATTGAAAACAAATTAAAACTGTCATCCGCCAAAAATTTCAATTTACTTATGAACCTAGACAATATTAGAATATGTATAATAAATTTATGATTATGAATAAGAAAAAAGAAATGTCTACATTATTATTGCCAAAAAGCAGCTGAGATGTGCCATAAATTAAAATAATATGAAATACAGTATATGTATGGCAGATTGAATGATACACATATGAACTCACTCACTTAAAATATTTAATTAAGTATTAATCAGAGCCGGTCCTACCTTTAATGTGATGCATGCGAAAACTACGAGTGCACGCCTTAGGGGGCCAACACAAGATTCGCATATTATATTTTCAATATAGTTTCTTTTTCGATATATAATTTCTCTGCATCTTTTACTAATCTTTCCACAATATTTTTAAAATTCGTAAAGATTTCACTTTATAACAACAAATCAGAAAGTAGAGATAAATACATACAATTCGGCCCTCACGATATCGATTAGGAGAAGTTTAAGATGCAATTTTGGATATCTTAAATAATAAAAAATTAAATTAATTTAATCCAACATGAAGTACCAGTGTTATGCTACGGTTATGGTTATGTTATACCGTTTAAAAGACTTCAATTTCCAATATAGTGTGAGAATTGAGACTAATCATTTTATTTAAAGCAGCTCTACATTTAACATCGCTCATATTATAAATGTATATGCACTTTGGCGTGAAGAGTAATTTAAAAAACAATAATTATTATTTTTAGGTAGACGGTAAATATTAGTATATTATATTATATTAAAAAATTGTAGATATGGGTACAGAACAACGTCTAGTATAAAATATAGCTATATACATATAATTTTTTGTATTCAAATATTTCTTATTAATCATACAGTAACCTTTTATCTAATATTTTTCCAGGATTACCATCAGTTTGAAACAGAAGCAATAGCCCGAATGAAAAGCTTCGAAGCTCAATTGTACAAATCTTATCAACATGGAGTCACCGACTCAGGAACAAAAGTTTGGTCGTTTTGGAACTCGATGTTCTTTTGTGGAACCATCTACACAACGATCGGTAAGGTCCATAATCATACATCGACATTTTTTTTAAATTCAACTCGTTCACCATTTATATCACTCTACTTTCTTTCTGTTGTTAAACATCGCATATTTATAGCAAGTCGTGGACATAAAAATAAGCATCATTTACGATCTGCTACTATTCTTAATGAATATTTACGATAGTCTGGCAGAGTGAAAAATTCCTCGACAGATTCATTTTCTTGCCAAAGTTTTAATTCGATTATTGACTTTGACAATAAAAAATATAATAAGAATAAATGATACTAATAATGTAAACACTTACGAAACTTGTTTTACAAAAATAGTATTTACGTCTATTTTGCTTTCACGACAATGGTAACATATTGAAGTTATATAATAATCAATATACAAAACTTGCATTAAATAATTTATTCATAAAAAAAACTTGTTTTAAAAATCTTGATTTTTTTTTAAAATAGTTAAAACCGGAATTTGAAGATGAGCGAAATTTATGCTGAAAAGATGTCTATAAAGAATAGAAATTGAAAAACGTTGGCATGGTATCGGAAAAGACAGTTTCGAGATAAACCCGTTTAAAATTTCGCAGAGGAAAGAAACAGAGGATGATCATAGTGGTCAAACAGCTATATTTCCGAAAATTATTTAAAATTTGAAAAATCCTCTTGTACGCATAATCTTGAATAGTTAATCTTTAAAATACTTGAACGAAAACAAAATGGATTTTAAACTTCTCGTAGGGTAAGTTATAGTAATGGCAAAAAAATCAAAAGTGAAAACTTTTTCATATCCTTACGTTTCAAAGGTTTCTGAACATTTTAGCATATCTTAGAAAAAATGGATGTATGTCTGTTTGCGTATGTATGTTCGGATACAAGTTTTGTCCACGAACCGATTTGAATGTTTCAAAAAACATTCGATTCCTACTGATGATGAGACGTGCTGATTAGTTTTTGACAAAGGCAGGTCTAGCCGTTTCGGATATACGGGGCAAAAATCGCCAAAAATGATATTTTACATTTTGAGATAACAGAGCGTCCGATTTAAGTTCAAATACATTTTATTTGTATTGACGAAATGAACAACTGGTAAACGTTTTGTAAAGGCAGGTCCAGCGTCTCCGGAGATCAAATAAATAAATTAAAAAATAATGTGATTTGGCGGTCAAAAATGAATATTATACATATGTACATACTACTATCAGATATTTTATAAAGATCATAATAGTAACTACAAATTTTGTGTACATTTATATGGGTTCGTACCAGCGTTTACACGTTAGACGACTACGCGTTTTGATATTTTGACTCCAAATCAGCTATGCCACGTGATTGTTTAAAAAAATGTTCAAAATTTAAAAAAAGAAATTAAAATACAAAAAAAACAAAATATAAAAAAAAATAAAAAAAATCAATTTCTTTCAAAAATTTCAAAACTTCTCAAAAATCTAATTTTTTCAAAGTTTTGGAAAGCTTTTTTTAATAATTTAGTTTTCGGTACGGGAAGTTACAGTAATTTGCCTTGAGGCACGATGCCATGCACGACTAGTTTTTTCAATTCCATACTGAAATACCCCTTAACAGAGCAACTTTCATTATGTATGTTCGGAATATATTTCGCCTAGAAAGATGGAAACACAAAAGTAGTGACTGACATGTGTGTGGCCGTCATTGCCTTAGACATCGAGTCTCGTTATTTTCAGAGAGGCCCACGTCGGTTTTATAAATACCTTTGCCGGTTGTGCACATATGCAGATTTCCCATATCATCTGCGGCAAGATATTTTTACACCGGAGCTATCTACCGAGCCGCAATTGAAAAACGCTAGTGCATTAGTTTTTGTGATGAAAAATTCATAAATAATTCTATGAATAGTGAAATTACACGATGGAATATAATTCTTCGAACTGTTCTGTGTCATTAATAACTTCACATAATTATATTGCACGGATGTTTTGACAATCGATGTTTTACTGAGAGTAGCAGATTTTGTTTATGAAATGGGTTACATGTTTTTTTATACTAATAACGAATGTAGTTCGCGATTAATTTAGTTTAGAGTAGAATATTTTAACTAAAATTGAATATGGAAGATTCAAAGAAAAACGACCCAGAGGTCATAGTTCCAAGAAGACGAAAGAAAGTACTACCACGGGACAAAACTCCGGATCCAAACCTACGAATTAATCGCTTGTCAAAATGTTCAGACTCGGAAAACGAATCAATTGAAAAAACTAACGATGACAGAAACACGAGCAATCACAAACGGAAAATACTCGAAAAGAAAAACAAAACCATTCTTCAAAGAAGAAGCATGTCAAATCCTAGAGTTATTGACAACCAACAACAGTCGGAATTATTTCAATTGCTCAAAGCTGCGAAAAGAAGTCTTTCAAGTCCTAGAGATATCGATAATGCTAAACTACCAAATTCTGATAAAAGATCTACTCCAAATTTAGTACACGAATCAAAAATTTTAAGTAAGTCTAGAAATAGTGAGAAAAGAAACGTGAATGCCAGTAAACAAGGTATAACAATTTCAAAAGAAATAACAAATAACAATACAGAAATATCGAAGCCCGGAGAAAAAACTATGGTTTATAATGATAATTACGAATCATCGACCGAATCTTGTTCAATTGGTGAAAGTGACGACATAACCCCTGCAATAATGGAACCAGTTATTAAAAAAATTGAACCGGAAAAAACTAAAGCCGAAATTAGAACAACTAACGCGGTTAAAACATCGCCAGGAAAACAAGTTAAACCTACAAAGAAAGATTCTGAAAAATCCAGCTACATACTTTTAATACGAGATAGTAGAATATTATGGAAACATTTCAAACTGACTCATAGCTCCGAATGCAGGCGAATACGATGTTTAACAAACAAATGTATATCGGACATGATAGCTATGTTGATATTTTGTGGTTGCGGTGGCATGATATTCAAATTCACAGAAGGTGCATTTGAAAACTTTTACAAATGTGGTGTGAAAAGGGTAAAACGAGATTTTATCGATCAGTTGTGGCAAACTAGTATGCACATGAGGTAAATATACTATTTAATTAAGCTTATTGTCGATATAAATGGAAAAAATTAATATGATTAAGGGAGGAAGATTGGAAATCGCAAGCGAGGCATAAGCTCCGAGCTTTCGAGGAAGAACTGCACACTGCTCACGAAGCCGGAATGAAAACGTACAGTGGTCAGAGAGGATGGAGCTTTCTCAACGGGGTCGTATACTGCCTGACCGTCGTTACTACGATAGGTTCTCAAAACAACATAATTCACTTCGCTTTTATTAGTTATAAGTTAAGAATACTTAAAAACAAAGAGACAGAGCAAATTAAAAATATTGTTTCACTTATAGCGATATAGTTATTAACTTCCCGTAGGGTAAGTTATAGTAATCGCAAAAAAATCGAAAATAATTTTTTTTATATATCTTTACGTTTCAGAGGATTCTGAACATTTTGGCATACCTTAGAAAAATGGATGTATATGTGTGTGTGTGTGTGTGCAGATGCAAATTTTTGTCGACGATTTACACGGATCAAGCAATTTGAACAATTCAAAAAACATTCGGATCCTACTGATAAGGAGTCGTGCTGATTAGTTTTTGGCAAAGCCAATTCTAGAAGTTTCGGAGATATGGAGCAAAAAGTGCCAGAAATGATATTTCAGATTTTGAGATAAGGGAGCGTCCTGTTTGAATAATTCAAAAAACATTTTACTTGTATTGACGAAATAAACAACTGGTAAAATTTTTGTAAAAGCAGGTCTAGCCTCTTCGGAGGCTCAATGAAAAAAGTAAAAAATAATGCCATTTGGCGGTCAAAAATAAACATTACGGCGGTACGTCGTATTATCAGATATTTTTTAATGATTACAATAATAAGTACAACTTTTTTGTACATTTATATGGATTCCGTACCAATTTTTACACGTTAGACGACTACGTGGCCCTTATGCGCTTTGATATTTCGACTCCAAATCAGCTATGCAGCGTGATAGTTTAAAAAAATGTTCAAAATTTTCAAAAAAAATCTAATTTTTCAAAAATTTCGAAATTTCTCAAAAATCGAGTTTTGAATCCAAAAATTATTGCAATATCTAGTTTTATTAACAAATATTAACTAAACAAAGATAATAGGCAAATTAAATAAATAATAAATTCAATACACATTATAAATTTAATGTACGATATATCTACCCTATCCTCTCGGAAACTGCTGCTAATTTCTTAAGATGACTAATGATCTTTGGTACAATTTTCCTAAACGCATGTTTAACTTCGCTAATGGCAATGAAAGATTTTCGATACAGAACTAGTTAGGATAATGTACAATTTATAAATATTTCTAGTTCATATCATGATTTTAAATTATGTACATAATGTATATATATATATATATATATATATATATATACAGTAGCGGCGCGAGGCGTCGGCGGTGTCGGCGGCCGCCGACGGCCTCGCGCCTGGGGGGGCCTCGCAAGAGGCCCCGGAAAAATTTTAATTATTTAAAATTTAGTTAATTTTCATACGGATGTGCGAGTAAAAAAAGGTGATTAGTGGTTTACAGGCACTATCATTTTACTCTTTTATCTTTTATGGACATTATCTAATATCGTCTGTCAACACTATAGATTATTAAATCTAAACAACTTTGCGCAAGCTAATTCTCTGGTTGTTTATATTCGTGTATTTTTTATGTGAGCACTATGTAAATCATCGAAACAGTAATTAAATATTCGAGGAATAAAAGTAATCAATGTTCAATAAAAATTTATCAGTGAGAAATAACAATGAGATAATAGCAAAAACTGTTAATTTGAAACTAATCATTGTTACACACCGTCAACACAAGCAACATATTTTTTTAAACATTCTATTGGGATGATCAGTTCTTTCAAATAAAATTCATAACCTTTTAAACTTTTTTTGTATCTCCAAAACCGCTAAACCTGCCTTTGACAATTTATCAACACAAATCGAATGTTTTTTAAATCCTTTAAATCGGTTGATCGGTTCTGATGTCGTCGACAGAAAATTAAAGCGTCTTAAAAAAACGACATTTTGACATTTTTGAACCAATTTTAAAAATTCAAAAACTAATCGAAAGTTTTCAGTTGGCGATCGTCCTGAATTGTTTTTCGTCAAGATCGACCGCACAGTTTCTTCGTAATTTATTGTAAAAATCTTTTTTCAAAAACTTGTTAGTATCATCTAACATAAATTTTATGGAACTACGATAAATGATTAATTATAAAAACTCATTAACTTTTAGAATAATGGGACGAGCTTTTAGACCATGTGTACCTACTATGTGATGTGCAGATTTGTGCACTCAAATTAGTATGAACATAGATTTTTTAAATCTAATTAATCACTTGCAGATTGCAAAATTTTGTCTAATTAGTTATTAAGTCGGTGATTTCCAACCATTTTTTATTCATAATGATCGAGAAAACATAAAATTTACTAATCAAATAGTTGGGCAAAGGGAAACTTTTTTGCGATAAATATTTAATTTTAGTGCTTTTTTAATAGCTGGAGAACTAACCATTTTTGCCGAAAAGTTTGTTTATTTTAACTTGTGTAATTTTTGTCTATTTCAATTGGTGTATTTATCTGATTAAAAATAAATCTCATATACAGTTATAGTAATCGCAAAAAAATCTAAAACAAAAAATTCCATATATCTTCAAAGATTTCTGAACATTTTGGCAAATTTTCGTCGACGATTTCGCGAACATGGATCAACCAATTTGAAAAATTCAGAAAACATTTGTCATGTATTGAAGGTAAGAAGACGTGCTGATTAGTTTTTTGCAAAGGCAGGATAGCCGTTTCGAATATACGGGGCAAAAAGTGCCAAACTGATTACATTTTTAGGAAGGCAGGTCTAGCGGTTTTGGAAATCCAGTAAAAAAGCACAACAAAAGCCATTTGGCATATGCACATCAAATTATCAGATATTTTATAAAGATTTTAATTAATGTTAGACTGCAACGCGGCGTTTACGCGCTTCGATATTTCGTCTCTAAGCAGCTAACGCAACGTGATTGCTTTGAAAAAAAGTTCGAAATTTTCAACAAAATATTTCAAATTAAAAAAAGTCAATTTCTTTCACTTTTCAAATTTTTTAAAAGCTTTTCAAAAATTTAAATTACGGCACGAAAAGTTTCAGCAATTTGCCTTTAGACACGATGCCATGTACCACTAGTCAACTTGCAACTGGCAAAAAAGGAGGGCCTCGCAAACGAATTTCGCCGACGCCCACAAATGGTCTAGCGCCGCCACTGTATATATATAAATATATATATATATATATATATGTATATATACAATTAAAATTTAACCATTTAAACCACAATACTCGTGAATTATAAAAATATCGTCAAAAATTAAATTCATTTCATAAATCAATTTTAGTTCAATGGAATTTTGAATCATTTTCTGTCTTTTCTACTGATATGAAGAATCCTATGTTAATTTCATTCAAACTGAATATTCTGATTGCAGGGTACGGCCATATTTCACCTGTGACCACAACCGGCAGGGCCATAACTATTGCGTACGCTATAATTGGCATACCCATGTTTCTCATTTTGCTAGCCGATTTTGGCAAATTGTTCACGAGATGCATTAAGTTTGTGTGGGCCTTCGTACGAAGATTGTATTACACGGGGTCGTGTAAAAAAGTTCGACGAACAGCACCTGTTCAGGTCAGACAGAAATTTATTGTCATTATATAAAATCATATTGTAACTTATAAAAACAAATTATTCTAAATCTTTATCCATTTCTTTCAGGAGGTTATGAAGGGTTTCAACATGATCAACGACCTAGCACATTTCAGGCGTCCGAGTCAACCGAGCGGGCCCAATATGACAATGACCGATCCAGAATTGACGCCTTCTGGTGGCATGCGCCTATCGCAATCCGCCCCCAGTGGAATGCCACAGACCCTTTACCTTACAACCCCCTCGGCAGGAGCAGAAACGCCACAAACACCAGCGCCGTCCGCATTCGAAATAGACGATGAATTTAATTTGCCAATATCAGTCGCCATTTCTATACTATTAGTTTATATTTTCATAGGGGCTACTATTTATTACATATGGGAAGACTGGGGATTTTTCGAATCGTTCTATTTCGTATTCATATCGATGTCTACCATCGGTTTTGGTGATTTTGTACCACAGCATCCCATTTATATGATGGCAAGTATAGTATACTTGGTGTTTGGATTGGCTTTAACATCTATGTGTATTAATGTTGTCCAAGTAAAACTAAGCGACAGCTTCAGACAGGCCAGTGCAAAAATAGGTGCAACCATTGGTTTGAAAATGGCAGAAGAAGAAGCCAGTGCACAAGGCACCCCACCAGAGGTGGAAATTGCAGAAGTTCATGGCAGCACTTCCAAAACGAGGAATAAAACTTAATAATATTTTTTAGTTTGTTATTTTATTTAAAAATGATGAATCTCTTGTTTAATTTAATGTTTCTAGTTTATTGGTAAAACTACTCTTCCTTGCCAGTACACCAAACGTTAGCGACAATTTTTATTGTGTCGTCTATGAAAATTGAAAGATTTGAGGTCTTTTTCACTACCCTTAAAGTTAACGCAGGATATGCATTAATTGAATATTATTTTGAGAACATCATCAATTATCAGGACAAACACCTTTGAACCTTTATCATTAATTAATAATTGCTTTATACAAATACATAGTTTATCGTGATAAAAGAAAAATATGAAGGACAATATTATAAGAAAGAATCTGAAACCTTACAGCTTAGTAAACATTTACTTATTTTAAAGTGCCTCGATGTTCCCTGATACAGATTGATCACAGTAAAAGAAAACTCTATATATATATTAAAGTAAATTTAGGTATACAATTATCACTAGCTTTGATAATATTTTTACATTTTATTACAAAAAAATGAGGTTGTGCTTACATTGTGTAAAAACTAATTTAATACCAAATGTACCTTTTTAATAAATCAAAATATACTCAATCATATTCATTTTGAAAATTATTTGACCAGATGTTTTTAAATTAGAATAAAGATTTATTTATTTTAATAGAGGAATAGAAATGTTATCTTTATATGTGTGACTGATTTTGAATTTTAGTATTTAGGATTGATATCTTCTAAATAATTTGTAACATAGAGCTTATTGCATATAAAAAATATATTGTTCATTACAAGTTATATTGGATTTATCATTTTTATTGTTAAAAAAGCAGGTGCAGAATAACAAATTTTAGCTTTTTTGGATACAAAAATTGTTGCTCCCACAATGCTCCTCATACAGAACTCGAATAAAATTAATTTTATTATATATCGATACAAAAACCGGCAAATATATTTTGTATTATATCACTGAATCATAATCTTTCCAAGTGATAAATAATCCATGCAATTCAAACATAATTTTTTAAAACACGACCATAAAATGAAAATCACATTTCAGCTAAAAGAGATTAGATTAAGCATATAATAGTTCAGCTTGATGTATTTTCTACTTCACATTCCTCAATTATAAGCGTTTTAATAACTGAAAATGTTCGAAAAAATTCATTTGGTCGCCTCATTTATTATTTTCTTCATAGATATATCACTGTGCAACCCAGGTAAGTAAAGTAATAAAATATATATTTTATTTTAAATCATTCAAAACAAACAAAAATTCAATTTGGTGCCATTTTAATTTTCTGAAGTTGCAAAATCAGGCGATGGGAAGCAAGGAAAAATTATAGGCGGCACCTACTCCTTGATTGAACAATTTCCGTACCAGGTGTCGATTATGTTATATGGGCAAGATTTTTGTGGAGGTTCTATTATTGACACGATATGGATCCTGACGGCGGCACATTGCATGGAGTATATATAAATTATATGATAAGAATAATTATTTTATATTTATTTTTATTTAAAAAAAAACGAGCAAGATATCAGAATCTTATAACTTTATTTTAAAATTTTATATTATATAAATATTTTTCTTTTTTTTATTGTTTGAACAGCAATCAGAACTCCTATATGTTCTATAAGCTGTTGGTTAACGACTTAAGACTACTTATTTAATGACATGCAATCCATCGATTAACCATTCTCTTATGTGTGGGATATTTTTGATATTAGCTCTTACGTCTAATAGTTAACATATAATTGGATGTTGCAGCTATGTCCACGAAGGACGATTTCCACTTGGAATTATATTGTGATCTACAACCCCAAGTGGAAATTCGACATCAAAGCTGCCTGATGTCGGGATTATAAATATATAAATTATTCAATTATCATTGCAGAGATCAGGTGCCAAAAAAATTGAAGGTGCGTGCTGGGAGCTCGTATAGTTCCAAAGGTGGAATGGTTCACAAAGTGTCACAATTCTACACGCACCCTTCATATGATACATATACCATTGACTACGATTATGCAATTTTAAAACTTTCGACACCTCTCATATACACAACAAAGATAAAGCCGATTATATTAGCCCAGGCACGAGACATATTAACGCCTGGGACATTACTGACTGTGTCTGGATGGGGTTCAACGGAGGTAATATAGATAAATGAAATACATGCGTAAAAATTCGCGAAAAGAAAGTTTATGGTTTTGTTGTTAATTTTATATTTTCTTGATATTCTGAATCGTTTGACACCAAAATTAGGGAAAATGTGTGTGTGTTTCTATGTGAATGCATGAGTGTTTGTAATATTTTTGGATATATATACGAGGTCTGTTCAAAAAGTACCCGGAATTTTCGTTTTTTCAAAAAAATATTTATTTATTCGTCTACATTAATGTGGTCCCCTTCAAAGTAGTCCCCCCCAGATATAATACACTTATGCCAGCGTTTTTTCCAATTTTCGAAGCACCCTTGATATTCACTTTTTGATATGTCCTTGAGCACTCTCAGCGATTTTCTTCAATCGAGGAAAACCGCCGTCCTTTCATGGGTCTCTTCAACTTTGGGAATAGGAAAAAGTCACACGGAGCCATATCTGGTGAATTTTTGCACTTTGCAACACTTTATTTCATTTTTTACGCAAAATTTAATACAAATTCTTTGACTTTTCAATTCTTCCATTGTAAAAATCGCCGAGCTCAGAAAAACACGTCGAACCTTAGCGACTACCACAGACAAAGTAAACAGTGAATATAGCTGAAAGTTTCATCATACTTTAGGGGCATGTATACCAACACAATAAAAAAAAAATTTTGACAATCAGACACTCCAGACCCGCGAAATTTAATTATTAGTAATTCCGGGTACTTTTTGAACACACCTCGTATATATATCCAAAAATATTACATATATATTATTAAATTATCCTGTACATTTATAAAAAAGACAATTGATTAAAAGTTCCAGTAAAATGCTCTAATAAACATGGAGTTATTTTCTTACTCATTTATTGGTTTTAAATTAACATGAACTATTTTGCAATCCTGCTTAATTGCGCGGACAATTATTGGAACTTGCTAAAGCACTTTAGTGCGGCCTTTCAAAGTCAATTTTAAAAATTTTCAATTCGTAGTTCAACAGATTGCCATAACTCCAATAACCTGGGCCTGGGGCATTGTATCATTATTTTTGACTGTGGTCTTACAAATGCTTTTATGGTTATGGTTCCAAAGTTTAAATAAACAAAAATAATGAAAATTAACTACAATAACTGAAAAATGATTAGTCTAGCCAAAGCTCTAGGTTAAACTTAAAAGCTTATAACTTTTAAATTGTAATGATAATTACAATCGCTTCCCAACAAATTTCAGACAGAGGAGGTGGAGGATACACTGAAATCAGTGCAAGTGCCCTTCATATCTTGGGAGGATTGTTTAGACCTCTATGGTAACCAAATCACACCAAGAATGTTTTGTGCTGGTTACGTATGGCAAGGCGGCAAAGACGCTTGTGAAGGAGATTCAGGTACATTTCAGAATTAATTCTCTGTTAGACATGTATTTTATTTCATTTGTGAAACATTCCAAAGTTCGTAATTATCTATAGGCTGAATTTTGGAACCTCTAATATAATATTTTATTAATTCGTCAGGAGGCCCTCTTGTGGCTAATGGTATTCAATACGGAATAGTTTCTTGGGGGGCAGGTTGTGGCGATGCCGGCAGTCCAGGCGTATACTCCAGCGTGCCAAGCCAAAGGCTTTGGATCAAAAGCATTACGGGAGTTTAAATGACATCAACAGCACATTGCTCGTTGGAATTGATTCATTTGAAAATAAAAATAGTAAGCAACTATTAACAACTTAATAAATAGAATCTGATAATATTTTAGTTGTTTCTCATGAGAAAAGAAATCATACAAAACTTGTTTTAATTAGAAAATTGAAAATTGATACTGTTGTCACAGCATATACAATCAATAAATGAATAGTGAAACAAATAAAAATATTGCAGAATATCTATCTCTTTATTTTTGCTAGTTGGCTGTTTTGCACCTGCCAGAAAGATACGTTTTCAATTTACGCGAGAAAATAAAACACATGAAAGCTATGATGGACTAGTTGGTATTGGTATTTTGCCTTGAGGCAAGTTACATGAACTTCGCGATTTCTGTAAATAATCGACTTAATCCATGATAGATAAATTAATTTATGAGTAGTTAAAAGTATTCGAAGTGGATTTATTACACATAATTGAAAATCGAACAGGTCAACCCGGTCGGACTATTTTCAAAAATCAATAATTTTTATAATTGATCCAGTTTCCGTAGGACTTTAATGGTTTAGTATGTTCATTAAGACCAAGTACTATATCGTTATACCAAGTAAATCGTCTACTTTTAATTTTAACAAATGTCCACAAAATTACTCATTTTCTCAAACTTTTCGTTATTTTCAGAGAGGTCGACGTCGGTTTTATAAATACCTTTGCCGGTCGTGCACATATGCAGATTTACCATATTATCTGCGGCGAGATATTTTTACACCGGAGCTATCTACCGCGCCGGAATTGAAAAACGCTAGTGCATTGGTTTTCGTGATGAAAAATTCATAAATTCAGAAATAATTTGCTTTTATTAGTTATAAGTTAAGAATACTTAAAAACAAAGAAACAGAGCAAATGAAATATATTGTTTTACTTACAGCGATATAGTTATTAACCCTTTTAATTAAATACTGCTCATTTGGCCGAGATATCATTGGAATTAAGTGAAAGTGAACGGTGTGTACTATGTTATTAATAACAAATGTTATTTAATAATTATTTTTAAGTGAAAATAATTTTTTGTTATTGTTGTTTAAGAGGCCACTTTGACATATTTTCAATGATATCTCGTTCTAATTATAAGCTACTGATTTGAAATTTGGTATATCGAATTTTCTCAAAAATACCTATAAAATGACATCAAAATCTTTCAAATACCAGGGTGGAGCCACTTCTCTATTAAAACACGCCCATACACATTATGAATTTAATAAACGATATATTTTTCCTATCGCAAATAGCTACAAATTTCTTCAGAAGGATCATTGGTACATTTTTCAAAAACACATGTGTAACTTCGTTGATGACAATAAAAGATTTTCGATATCGAATAGTTTGGATAATTACAATTTCACATTTTTCTAGTTCATATCAATATATGTATATACTCATATCAATATATGTATATATTCATATCAATATATGTATATATATATAATATTCAAAATATAACTATTTTTTATACAATATGTATGTATTTAAATTATATAAATATCGTCGAAAATTAATTTCATTTTATAAATCAATTTTAGTTCAATGGAATATTGTATCATTTTCTGTCTTTTCTACTTAAATGAAGAATCCTATGTCAATTTCATTCAAACTGAATATTCTGATTGCAGGGTACGGCCATATTTCACCTGTGACTACAACCGGCAGAGCCATAACTATTGCGTACGCTATAATTGGCATACCCATGTTTCTCATTCTGCTAGCCGATTTTGGTAAATTGTTCACGAGATGCATCAAGTTTGTGTGGGCCTTTGTACGAAGATTGTATTACACGGGGTCGTGTAGAAAAGTTCGACGAACTGCGCCTGTTCAGGTCAGACGGAAATTTATTGTCTTTATATAAAATCATTTTATAACTTATGGAAAGAAATTATTCTAAATCTTTATCCATTTCTTTCAGGAGGTTATGAAGGGTTTCAACATGATCAACGACTTAGCACATTTCAGGCGTCCGAGTCAACCGAGCGGGCCCAATATGACAATGACCGATCCAGAATTGACGCCTTCTGGTGGCATGCGCCTATCGCAATCCGCCCCCAGTGGAATGCCACAGACCCTTTACCTTACAACCCCCTCGGCAGGAGCAGAAACGCCACAAACACCAGCGCCGTCCGCATTCGAAATAGACGATGAATTTAATTTGCCAATATCAGTCGCCATTTCTATACTATTAGTTTATATTTTCATAGGGGCTACTATTTATTACATATGGGAAGACTGGGGATTTTTCGAATCGTTCTATTTCGTATTCATATCGATGTCTACCATCGGTTTTGGTGATTTTGTACCACAGCATCCCATTTATATGATGGCAAGTATAGTATACTTGGTGTTTGGATTGGCTTTAACATCTATGTGTATTAATGTTGTCCAAGTAAAACTAAGCGACAGCTTCAGACAGGCCAGTGCAAAAATAGGTGCAACCATTGGTTTGAAAATGGCAGAAGAAGAAGCCAGTGCACAAGGCACCCCACCAGAGGTGGAAATCGCAGAAGTTCATGGCAGCACTTCCAAAACGAGGAATAAAACTTAATAATATTTTTAAGTTTGTTATTTTATTTACAAACGATGATGTAAATGTTTAACACATCATGTTGAGTTTGCATAGGTGTGATGTATTTTTAATTTATTGGTAAAACTACTCTTCCTTGCCAGTACACCAAACGTTAGCGAAAATTGAAAGATGTCTTTTTCACTACTCTTAAAGTTATAGCAGGATTTGCATATTATTTTGAGAACATAATCAATTATCAGGACAAACACCTTTAAACCTTTATCATTAATTAATAATTGCTTTGTACAAATACATAGTTCATCGTGATAAAAGAAAAATATAAAGGACAATATTATAAGAAAGAATCTGAAACCTTACAGCTTAGTAAACATTTACTTCTTTTAAAGCGCCTCGATGTTCCCTGATACTGATTGATCACATTAAAAGAAAACTCTATATATATTAAAGTAAATTTAGGTATACAATTATCACTAGCTTTGATAATATTTTTACATTTTATTACAAAAAAAATGAGGTTGTGCTTACATTGTGTAAAAACTAATTTAATACCAAATGTACCTTTTTAATAAATCAAAATATACTCAATCATTTTGAAAATTATTAGACCAGATGTTTTTAAATTAGAATAAAGATTTATTTATTTTAATAGAGAAATAGAAATATTGATATTTTATGTTATCTTTATATGTGTGACTGATTTTGAATTTTAGTATTTAGGATTGATATCTTTTAAATAATTTGTAACATACAGCTTATTGCATATAAAAATATATTGTTCATTACAAGTTATATTGGATTTATCATTTTTATTGCGAAAAAAGCAGGTGCAGAATAATAAATTTAAGGTTTTTGAGTAAAAAATGTTTGCTCCCATAATGCTCCTGATACAGAACTCGAATAAAATTAATTTTATCATATATCGATACAAAAACAGGCAAATATATTTTGTATTATATCACTCAATCATAATCTTTCCAAGTGATAAATAATCCATGCAATTCAAACATAATTTTTTAAAACACGACCATAAAATGAGAATCACGCTTCAGCTGAAAAAGATTAGATTAACCATATAATACTTCAGCTTGATGTATTTTCTACTTCACATTTCTCAATTATAAGTGTTTTAATAACTGAAAATGTCCGAAAAAATTAATTTGGTCGCCTCACTAATTATTTTTTTCATAGATATATCACTATGCAACCCACGTAAGTAAAGTAATGAAATATATATTTTAATTTAAATAATTCAAAACAAACAAAAAATCAATTTGATGTTATTTTAATTTTCTGAAGTTGCAAAATCAGGCGATGGGAGGCAAGGAAGAATTATAGGAGGCTCCTACTCCGCGATTGACAAATTCCCATATCAGGTGTCGATTATGTTATATGGGCAACATTTTTGTGGAGGTTCTATTATTGATACGATGTGGATCCTTACGGCGGCACATTGCATGGAGTATATATAAATTATATGATAAGAATAATTATTTCAATTTTATTTTTATTTATAAAAAAACGAGCAAGATATCAGAACCTTGTTATTTTATTATAATTTTTTTATTATATATATTCTATATGAATTATTCAATTATCATTGCAGAGATCGGGTGCCAAGCGAATTGTCTGTGCGAGCTGGAAGCTCGTATAGTTACAAAGGTGGAGTGGTTCACAAAGTGTCACTTTTCTACACGCACCCTTCATATGATACATATACCATTGACTACGATTTTGCGATTATGAAACTTTCGACACCTCTCAAATACACGTCCAAAATACAGCCGATTACATTGGCCCAGGCACGTGACCAATTATCGACTGGGACATACCTAACTGTGGCTGGATGGGGTACAACCGAGGTAATATTGAAGAACGAATAAAATGCATATATAAAAAAATATGTGATTAAATTCGCCAAAAGAAAGTTTATTGTTTTGTTGCTTTTAAATTTCTGAATCATTTGTAATCGATGTTTTCTCAAACCATTTGATGAAACTGGATGAGGACTCGCGTTAGTAATTTTGACACCGAGACGTTTCTTTAGAATCAGCAGCAAGATGAAAAATTTTTCGTTCACGTTTTTACCAAAAATCCTCACTAATATTGATACTGATTTTGAAAATTCAGATATCAGTTGGGAATTGTGCTGAATTGGTTTTGGAAGATCAGTCTGGTCAGTTTTAACTTCGCGTAGAGTAGTTATAGTAATGGGCCGAAAATCGAAAATGAAATTTTTTGCATATCTCATATCTTCACGTTTTGAAGGTTTCTGAACATTTTGGCATACCTTAGAAAAAATGGATGTATGTGTGTGTGCGTGTGTATGTTTGGATACAATTTATGATCCACGATTTCGGGCGCACGAATCAACCGATTTGAATGATTAAAAAAACATTCGATTTCTATTGATAAGGAGACGTGCCGATTAGTTTTTGGTGCAGACAGGTCCAGCCGTTTCGGAGATAAGGGCAGACAAAAAGTGCAAAAACGGTAATTCAGTTTTTGAGAGAACGGAGTACCCGATTTGAATCATTCAAAAAACATTTTACTTATATTGACAAAATAGAAAATTGATGTAATTTTTGGTGAAGCAGATCTAGCGGTTTTGGAGATACAGAGTAAAAAATAAAAAAAAAAGATATTTGACGGTCAAAAATGATCATTAGACATATGCACATCAAATTATCAGATATTTTTGATCATTTTTCTAAAAATTAGTACTAATTTTGCTTCAATTTTGTTGAATTCCGTACCAAGATTGTTAATTTTTAAAATTTACTTATACGGTTCAAGCAAATTTCAAAATTTTCAAAAAATTTGTTATTTCAAAATTTTTAAGAATATATAAAAACTTATACTTCAAATATGAATTTCAAATTTACAATTCAGTTTAAAAATGTACATATTTCAAATGCGTTATTCTAATCGTAAGAAATATATCCTCAGACGGATTTATTCGGCTTCTCTTGCTAATGTAAACTTTCTCAAGTGTTTTGAGCGATAAGATCATCACATTTTATGAACGATAAAATATATAGTAATTATAATTATCTATTTGAAAATGTTTAAAACAATGTTTATTATTCATTGATTAATATTCATTGATTATTGATTTTTTCGAATATTTAATTCTGGTACGGGAAGTTCCAGCAATTTGTTCCAGCAATATTGATTAAGTTGAGTTGATAACGAAAAATGACCACACTTCAGCTAAAACTCTGAGTTGAATTTAAAAGCTCATAACATTTAAACTGTATGTGATTTTTTTCTAATTTTTTCATGATAGTTACAATCGTTTACGAATCAATTTCAGTCCATGGAGGTGGAAGATATGCTAAAATCAGTGAAAGTGCCGTACTTATCTCTGAACGAATGTTATCAACTCTATGGGAACCAGATCACACCAAGAATGTTTTGTGCTGGCTTAGTGTGGCAGGGCGGGAAAGACGCTTGTCAAGGAGATTCAGGTAAATATAGAGAAATAGTGAAGTATCGCAAAGTTCGTAATTATTAAAAGGCTGAATGTTGGCATCGCAAATGTATTATTTTATTAATTTGCCAGGAGGCCCTATTGTGTATAAAGGTATCCAATACGGAGTAGTTTCTTGGGGAGCCGGTTGTGGCGATGCCGGCAGTCCAGGTGTATACTCCAGCGTTCCAAGCCAACGGCTTTGGATCAAAAGCATTACGGGGGTTTAAATGACATCAACAGCACATTGCTCGTTGGAGTTGGTCCATTTGAAAATAAAATTAGTAAGCAACTATTAACAACTCAATAAATAAAATCTGATAATATATTTTAATTGTTTCCCATGAGAAAATAAATCATACAAAACTTGTTTTAATTATAAAATTGAAAATTGATACTGTTGTGTTGTCACAGTATATACAATCAATAAATGAATAGTGAAACAAATAAAAATATTGCAGAATATATATCTCTTTATTTTTCTAGTTGGCTATTTTTCACCTGCCAGAAAGACACGTTTTCAATTTACGCGAGAAAATAAAACACATGAAAGCTATGATGGAATAAAAATAAAAGTGACAACTAGATGAAAATATGTTAGGTTTTAAAATATTTCGACCATTTTAGGGCATCGTATTAACAAACTATAGACACACATTTGCTAACATATGTTTATATATGTATTTACATATGTATATATATATATATATATATATAATTTGGAAATATGAACAAACAACACTCTTTTTTGCACTTATTTATTAAATAATAATTTTCAGAAACGTTTCGAGACTAGGTTTGTCTCATCATCAGTGTGTTATAATTTAAAATTTAAAATATGGAAACCTAAATTAGCATTATGTGTTAACCATTACACGTTGTTCGAAATACTGTCTTCTGCCCTACCAACGATCGTCGGTGTCCGAATTCTTTATTCAATTTCAAGTGGTTAGTCACGCAATATCAGATAGAAAAGAAAGGATTAGGGTCCAGTTGAAAAATAGATATCGTTAGGAGAAAAAAAATATCTATGAAATGCGACGGTTTGTTTATAAAATTTGTTTTAAATTATTATAATAAAAATATATGTACATATATACGTACTTATATATAAGTATATATATATATATATATATATATTGTAATTATATATATATATATATACAAATGCATACCCATAGTACACAGGATAACACATAATGCTAATTTAGGTTTACCATATTTCAAATTTTAAATTATAACACACTGATGATGAGACAAACCTAGTCTCGAAACGTTTGTGAAAATTATTATTCAATAAATTAGTGCAAAAAGAGTGTTGTTTGTTCATATTTCCAAATTATATATATATATATATATATATATATATATATATATATATATTTAGGTGTGTGTGGGAGTGAATTTGGCACATATTCGTGATTAAGTTATATAGAGTACTGATGTGGGCAAACTTACGCTTTAAGATAAGCGGCTTTAGCCATGTCGTTTAATAATTGAATTCAGCCTTCTCTGTTCGAGTATACTCAGCCCATATACTTATAACATATAATAAACATGTATATATACATATATATTTATATATATTTGTGTATGTGTGTATGTATATTTGCTTGTGTATACACATATAAATTTACGTGTGTTCTCTCATACATGTTAATGAAAATTAATGATCATTTACCATTATGCGATGTCACTTCACTTTTGAATAATGAATGAAGAATAGACAGCATAGACATTCAACTTTGCCGACATTTAACAATCTGATCTAACACACACAATCTCGAATTCAAATATTCGAATATATGAAAGAGGTTCAAGCACCAATACAGAAGTTTATAATTAATGAAACATTGGATTTCTATGAGCGATATAGTGCAACATCTGAATATATCAAGTTTGAATACATATATTGTTTTTTTATTTTAACTATGACTATTTCTTCAGTCTATCATAAGTACGTTTTTTAGATATGCACTTGTACAGCCCCTTAAGAAAGACTAGTTCATTTTAAAATTCGAAAAACAACATTGTACATGCTATACTGTCGAGAAAATGATAAGTTTTTCAATAGTTATTTAATTTAAATTAGCTAAAATTGTTTCAAAGTTATCAAGAGTAATCATATTCTCAAAATATTACAATTTTAAAAAATTTAAAAATCCTCGTTATTTTTTATAATTTGCACAAATAATACAGTGAAATTCAGTAACGTTGTTTTGGCTTAGCTCTCTTTTATATCACCCTGAAAAAAATCTCCGAAATTCAGGCAAAATCTTGAAAAAAGCGGTCAATGTGGAAGCAAAACTATAAAAATTAAATGAGCAAGAAGTGGTGTTTGTTAATTGAGACTAAAATTATAAACCAGTTTTTTCAGATTGGCTTAAAATCTGATAGGGGTTTAAAGGCAATATGGGGTGTTATGGACACTTAACACCCACATTTATCAACAACTTTTAACAGAACGCACCAAAAATCGCAAACAAAATTAGAAGCCTTTTTGGTAAAAAGACAAGCAATTTTAAGCACAATGCACTTAAGAATAAGACTAAATTAAAATTATATTATATAACATTATTATATTATATAATATACTACCCCGAAGGGTAAGTTAAAGTAATCGCAAAAAATCGAAAATGAAACTTTTTATATATCTTTACGTTTCAAAGGTTTCTGAACATTTTGGCATAAACTAGAAAAAATGTGGGTGTGTGTGTGGATACAATTTTTCATCGACGATTTTGGGAACACGGGTCAACTAATTTGAATAATTCAAAAAACATTCGGTTCCTATCGATAAGGTGACAATGCCAAAGATGGTAATTTAATTTTGAAGAGAACAGAGCGTCCAATTTCAATGATTCAAAAAACATTTCGTTTGTATTGACTAAATAAAGAATTAAAGTATAAAGAATTAGAATTTATAAAAAGGTAAAAATTTTTAAAAATCTCAAAGATCAATTTTTTTATGATTATAAAAGGAGTTTGACTTTTTGGTACGGGAAGTTTCAGCAATTCGCCTTAAGGCACTATACCATACACCACTAGTTTTTTTATATGGGATAAATGTTCGGTTTCATTTTTATTAGTTACTGAAATTTATATATAGTGAATTTTCTGTTCATCTTTTTCTAACCACATTGTGCGTTAGAATTTACCCGCGCTGTTTCCTATACATACTTTGATAGAATATAACCCTCGACTTAAGCGAGATATTATACAGTAAATCATTTAAGCTTTTAAAATATGTTTTAAGATTAGGTTTTTCAAGCAAGTTTAGAAATAAAATGCTATGAGAAATAGATAAAAATTTAGCCAAATAGTTCTCATATAGGCTATCTGATAGACAAATAGGTAAATCGGCAACAAGAGAGAGGTTCTCCCTGGACCGAGAGAATTTAGGTCATAGGAGCACTTACTGATAACACTTCAAGATGTAGGCGATTCGTTTTTCTGATCGTTTTACGTTCGAACAGGTACAAAAGTGTATTACAGGCATTACAGAATTTCCCGATGCAAGCTGACGTTTTGGACAAATTGAGTTGGGAACGATATTGAAGTACGGTTTTTCAAATAAAACACTGATTAAAAAAACTACTGATGTAGCACGTGTGAGCATATCATTCAGAAACATTTCCTCCACACACACACGTAAATAGATACATTTATATATAATAATATCTTTCAAAATTCATTTTCTGCATTATATATTACTAACATTAAAGTTTTAATTTCGCGATTAATGCAATACGCCACAAAACGAAATGTCTCATAAAGTTTCAGAATATATTTGACATGTCTTAAATGGGATATATTTATTCAACAAATCTTTAATATTATTGTATGAATATTAAATGCATTAAGATAAATTTGCAAAGTGATTATGTTTATGTAAATAAATTCAATTATTAGTAATGTCACGATAGTTGATGTCTCATGAAGATAATATATTGTTATAAATGATCATAAAACCTTCATTATAAAAGAATCATTAAAGATTGAGATTCTAAGAAGGATATGCCAGTATGAGATATTAATGATCCTTATTAACTTCCTGAAGGAGAAATTTGCTTTCGTCAGGTAATTCGATTTGTTAAATTTATGTTTTCTCGATGGTTCAAGTCATTCTAGGTTGCTTGACACCAAAATTGGTAAAAGAGTTTAAATATGTTTTGTTGATGGGTAAATGGATTCAGTATATTTAAATGGCAATCGGTACATTTCAAGAATTTACAAGTCGAAGTCACAATTAATAAATAATTGCAGAATTTTTTGTCAACGTTTTCGCCTAAAATCCTGAACCAATTTTGAAAATTCAAAAGCTGTTCGAGCATAGTTGGAATTTTGATAAAGATCGGCCGAGTATAGCTATAGCTATTTTTCGTATAGACTTTTCATAATTTTAACAAATTCTCCTAAAATATTATAGACCGACATATGGTTAAAAATTGAGTAAAGTTTGTAATAATGAACGGTGTTTTTGAAACATACATTGTCTATATTTAATAATCGTGTTTGTGAACTAAAACTAAAACAATTAAAGACATTATAAGTTTGATTAGCTTTTAGTGAAAACCGAAAACTTCATTCTAAAAATTCATAACAAAAGTATTTTCTTGCGTTATTTGTTTTGATTGTGAGCACTGTTGCTTAGTTTTCCAGACCTTAATATAATTTTTAAGTATACCATATTTAATTATTTTATAAAATGTATTGTTAATTTGAAGTTAAATTCAACAGTTTTTTTATATCCAACAGTTTTTTATTTAAAGCTCACGTGAGTTATAATGAACCAACTAAACCTTCATCCTGGCAAAGGTGTAAATAATAAAAAAATAGCAAATAAATATGTAAATTAAGTTCAAATAAACAATTTTACAAGGGAAATTAAATAAACAGTTATTCCAACTCTACTAATGAATATTTTTTATGTAATATCAGATTAAGATTAATTACAGTGTTATCTCTATAAAAAATGCACCCACGAAATTTATATTTTGCATTGGTTGAATAATGCGCCTAGCTATTATTGTATAAAACCTTTCAAAATTAAAATAAAACATTGAACCTATTTGCCCCGACCGTCCCAATTTAATCCCCTCAGGGGTAAAAACGACCAGGTTAAAAATTTTTGAAAAACAGAAAAAAAGCATTTTTAGAATGATGAATTAGCTGGGAGTTTTACTGAACATAGTCAGATAATTGTTTGTTTGATACTTGGGCGCGGTGAAAGGAAGCAACTAAACCTTCATAATAATTTTATTACAAGAAAAAAATTAAATAAACAGAATTTTCAACCCTGCTGCAGAATATTTCTACTAAAATACCAAATCAAGGTTTATTACAGTGTTCCCTTTAAAATTAAAGTGAAACATTGTACATGTTCGCCACCTGGCCATCCCATTTTAACCCCCTTAGGGGTAAACACCAAAAAACATTTTTAGAATGATGAATTAGCTGGGAGTTCTACTAAATATAGTTAGATAGTTGTTTGTTTGATACATGAGTGCGGTAAAATAGAGTAATTAAATCTTCACCCTGGCAAAGGTGTAAAAAATAAAAAATAACAAATAAAAAAAAGTTAAAATAATTTTATTACAAGAGAAAAGTTAAATAAACAGAATTTTCAACCCTGCTGCAGAATATTTCTACTAAAATACCAGATCAAGGTTAATTACAATGTTATCTCTTTAAAATTAAATTTATATTTTGCATTGGTTGAATAAAGTAGCTATTATTTTGTACGGGCTTGACCGTAGGTAAGCGGTTAAAAGCGACGCGACTTGTTTCAGAGGCCCCGGGTTCGATACCCACTTCGAGCAGCCTGTTGTCAGACAGCAGTGACAACGATTTTCACTTGGAAATATAGATAGCAATGTTTCCAAGTGAAAATGGCCCTTGCCCGACATTGCTGCACCAATAAAATGTCAACCCTATTAGAATAAGTCTATTAACAAAATCATCAAATATGGATGAATTAATCATTGAAAAATACGAAGGAAGGAGAAGTTTCAGCCCAACAGCTCATAGGACCTAAGGTTCTGATTGCTGTTCAAAAATAATAATAAAAAAAATTATTTGGTACAACCCCTTTAAAATTAAAATAAAGTATTGGAACTGTTTGACCACTGGCCGCCGAATTTTACCCCACCTATGGGGTAGAAAGGACCAGGTTACAAATTTTTGAAGAACAGCGAAAAAAACATTTCTGCTCGCTAAATGAGCTGGGAGTTTAACTGAATATAGTCAGATAGATGTTTGTTTGATATTTGTTATGACAGAATGGTTTTGATTTTCACAATGTCATTGTTCAAAGTTGGACCTTTGTACCCCGTGCTACCCTACATCGAGCAAAAAAAAGTGATCAATGCGTGTACTTCTCTGAGCTACGACACATGCGAAATGCACCAAATAAACAATTGAAAATTATTAAATATGACACACACACGTTCGACAATCGAGCCAAAAACCGAAATTTCGTCGCGCGTTGGGCGCAAACTCTGCACTAGCACCGTCTCGTTCCAACTCTCGTAGGTACCATCAGAGCCGCTCGTGTAATAATATAAGTATAACACACACAAGTCGCGTCTCGCACCGTTGATAGAGTTAGATTCAGTCGAATACGGACCACGGCCGGCGATCCGTCGAACAATTCAATCTACCAAGTTTATCGCGAACAATTGATAATAAAAAATAAATAAATAATTACTTGTGTCCGGATGAACGAATCATGCTCCTAACCCCATTTGGTGAAGATGGACTCTACTAAACCTTTTTGTGAATAATGAACAGTTTTTGTCAGTGTTCACCAACTATCAACCCCCGATACTAATTAAGTGCGACTGATCATTAATTGACATGTCTCGAGTGATTTACCCAAAGCAATTAACTAATTAACCAATTACTTAAGTACAGCTAATTACAAACCCAGCGAAAGGTACACATACCTGCACAACTGCATATACTCACATTTCAATAATATGAATATTTCCTGTTCATGTAAACCACTCAATTAATTTAATCACTGATAAATTGAACATTTAAATTTCCTTCTTGAACACGAATAAATTTTACCTAAATTAGAGTTCACGGTCTGTTTTATTTAAACTTTAATTATCAATTAATACAAAAAATGCACATGACCATAAATATCTTGAAGCTATAAATGCTTATGATGACCATTACAAATAAAAGTACTTAATACATCATATATATTACAGATTCATTCAGTAAAACCATTAGTGTAATAGAAACAATTGGAAGAAAACATGCGGTGCTTACAAAGTGTTATTATAAATCCGCGACTCACGACGGAAATAAATTGTCAAATGGACAATGAATGAATTAAAATTACGAATATTCATTTTATAAACTCACGTTCTAAACCAAACGAACAATATAACAGTCTAACAAATCAAATGAACAATTAAATCTGAGTGATTAAAAAAATTGCAAGAAAAACATATGTGTGATGAATTATTGAAGATTTGAAAGAGCTTTACAGTTTGAGTAAAGGTTGATTTTATAGAAATTTATGTTAGTGAAAAATATCACCTTTTATTAATGAGTGCACAATTAACAATTGTTCAAAATTTTAAATTTCTCTGGTGTCCTGGAGGCGCACTTACCATGGGGAGGCTTAGAGGTACTTATAGCACTAGTATATCGATAATAAAAAATAAGTATATTGTTATACATATAATTTGCATTGGTATTGATTAATTCTTATATTGATAGATTACGTATTATTTGTCATTATTATTTATTATGTGTTATGATTCAGCGAGGAAGAAAAACATAAAAAAAATTCATAGGTCGAGGTACAAAGGTCCAATTTGACCTTGAGAAATTATTTTGTTATTTTATAAAAACCAAACCAATTAAACCACAACAAATAACACTTATCAAACATACAACTATCTGACTATGTTCAGTCAAACTCCCAGCTATCATTGTAGAAATGTGTTTCTTTTGTTTGTTGTTTTGACACCTGGTCCTTGTTTTTAGGTAAAAAGAAACAGCCAGGGCGCAAAAAGATCTACCATTTTATTTTTAATTTTAAAAAATGATAACTACATTATTAAATTAATGTGATGCAGTTTAATTATCAGGTTAAACAACAACATTAGCAACCATAACAAGGTCCAATTTGTCTTTGACCAATTATATAGTAAAAACCAAACTGATTATGCTACAACAAATAACACATATCAAATAAACAACAATTTGTTCAGTAAAACTCCCAATTATTCATAATTATACAAATATTTTTTTAATATTTTTCAAAAAATTGCCACCTATTTTTTCTAATAGGTATAATTTTCTTGTTTTTTTATTTTAAAAAGGATTTATAAAATGATAGCTACATTATTCAATTAATGTAATGCAGTTTAATTATCAGGTTGAACAACAAAATTATTATTACATAATATAAATATGTACGGTAGGTCGAGGCATAAAGAACCAATTTGGCTTGGCCAATTATATAAAGAAAACCAAATTGATTGTGCCACAACAAATAACACATATCAAACAAACAACTATTTGACTAAGTTCAGTAAAACTCCCAACTATTCACAATTGTAGAAATGTTTTTTAGCAATTTTACAAAAAAATGTTACTTGTCAACCAAATTAGAAACCATAATATTAATATGTAGGGCAGGTCGGGGCGCAAACGTCCAATTTGACTTTGAATAATTGTTTTGTAAAAACCAAACCAATTATAACACAACTAATAACTAATATCAAACAAACAACTATCTGACTATGTTCAGTAAAATTTCCCGCTAATTCATATTTGTGAAAATATGTTTTATTGCTATTTTTCAAAAATTTCTCACCTGCTCCTTTTTACCCAACAGGCGATGTAAAAAAGGACAGCCAGAAAGCTAAAAGAATCATCATTTTATTTTAATTTTGAAAATATTTTATAGAATAACAGGTATATTGCTCAAATAATACTACGCAGTTCAATAACAAAATTAAAAATCATAATCTAATTTAAATCTAAGGTATCAATTCTTACTACTGCATAAATCTTGCTTTGGCTGCTATTTCTGTTTAATTTATCATAATCAGACTCATTGTTTTTTGAAATACCATCATTGCAAATGAGATAAACACAACTTTATAAAATGAGATAATACAACTGTTTGAAATACGCATTTTATGGGTACATTTTTTATAAAGTTCGCATTGGATACAACTTTTGTAGGGAATTTGTAAGTATTCATCGTCAAAGTTGGAATATGATATTTTATCTCCTGTATAATTGCTTGTCTTGATTCATTTTACATTTTTATTTACTATTTTCTATTTTTTTGCACTTAATTTTAGGTGGCCAATTTTACCCTTATTGCACGTAAACTCTTCTAAAGATTATTTAAGAAAAGCTTGGGAAACTGATTCAAAAATAACAATATCCATTTTTTATTCGACAAATTCGCATTTATCAAATATATATATATATATATATATATATTTATATGAGTCTAATCAATTATATAAATATAATAACAAAAATGATATCGACTTTATATGCTAATTAAAATTCAATGCATTCCGCAAATTACGACTACTAATTGTAACAAATAATATACGTACACTCTGTTAGGCCACTGTAGCCACTATTAATTAAAAATTTGTAAATTCTGAATTAAATTATTATATTAATGTTTATATTCCACACAGTATAAAGCATTAAATTACGTATTATATTATAACAAAATACATAAATGTGTAACATTATTTGGAGCATCTGCAGACTATTGCTGATATTGGGAGAAACAAAAATAAATAAATTTTATTTACAATATGAGGTTTAAGTTATGTAGTATGTGTATACTATACGCATACAATAGGTACAATATGAATTCAAATTGAAGTTTAGTTTTGGCTATTTGCAATGTATATGACTCATATTGAGAGATTTTCATCTCGCAAAGGTATCAAAATTTTCAATACATAATTTGCATTGATGTCGAGTAGGATAGTTGCAGAAATATAATGAATTTATATATATATATATATATATATATATATATATATATATGTGTGTGTGCGTGTGTATTTTTCGAACATCCTTATTTATAAGAATCCGTTTCAAAGCTCAAAAGCTTATGTGGGATAGACCTCATCCTTACACATACACATCTTCTCTGAAATCTTCACGAAGAATTTTGTTCCGGATAATAGACAAAAACATTATCGTTTTCCTATAATATATTTATTATCTTGTGCAAATATTTTGCGCCACAAAAACAATATATTTTCCCAAAGACATTTCCGCAGAAATCAATCCTCGAAAGGAATTAGGTAGGGTAGGGCGGGGCACAAAGGTCCAATTTGACATTGAGTAATTATATTGTGAATTCCAAATCAATTAGTTATATCATAACAAATAGCATACATATACCAAACAAACAACTATCTGACTATGCTCAGTAAAACTTCCAGCTACTTCATTGTTGTAGAGATGTGTTTTTTTGCTGTTTTTCAAAATATTGTCACCTGATTCTTTTTGAAATAGGACGGTCAGGGGGCAGACAGGTCCAATGTCTTAGTTTCAATTTTAAATATAATTTTCCAAATAACACTATATAATCTTGATATGATATTTCAAATACCAGGTGTAAAACTTTGATCTGGTCAGAAATATTATACAATTATTATCATGTTATATTATTTTGTTGATACTGCTATTAATTATTATTTTCCAGATTTAGGATTTTTCTAGATTTAGGAACATCAGAACAATCTTAAGATCTACAAGCCTTAAATAAACTATCTCAATATTATAAAAAAAATTATTCAAGTTATTGTATTACATAATACTAATGTTAGACTTAATATTGTTTTAGTGCTGTATTTCACTATAAAAAATTAAATTAAGATAATTTATTTTCTGTAATTACTAAATTTAATCCTGTATCCAAAATATAAATATATCGTGGGAAGAGAATAGCTAATTATATTATTTATCTCTTGTAAAATTGCTTTTTTAACTTAGTTTACTGTTTTATTCACTACTTTTTGTTATTTACACCTTTGGCAGGATGAAGGTTTTGTTGGTCATTTTTTCCCACCTACGAGTAAGCTATTATAGATGTTATATAAAAACTTGGTTGGATCTAACTTAAAATCAACAATACTAAAGCAATCGATTTGCGTATACTTAAAAATTATTTTTAGGTCTCGTAAACTAAATAACAGTGCTCACAACCTAAAAAAAATAACGGAAAAAATACTATTTTTAAACATTGCTGTTCAACTTCCGATAACAACATCGTAAGAATCAAGGTGATGGCTGGTTATTCATCTTTTCCCTCTACTTTCAAATATTGTTGCTAAAAAATTCTTAACTTTACTAGTTTTTGAGATATCTGTAGTATGCCTCTTTACCAACAGACCTTTAGGCTGTGCTTTACCCTATATAAAATTTTATATTAAAAATGACACTACAAAAGCTTAGTAGGAAAATATTATTTTGATTGATAATTTTAGAGTAGGTAATATAAATTCGATAAGTGCATAACACAATAACGATCAATCGCTTTCAATCTCGGCCACTTTGAATTCTGTCCAATGAAAATCAATTCCACTAAAGCACTCCTATTTCTCCTGTCAGCTAAATATGCGTGTATGCATAAACGATTTCATTATGAAATTATTTAATAATAATATATTCATGATCCGCACCGTGCGAGCATATAGAATCCGGACTATGTGGCCGCCCTGCATGTGTGTTTGGCCATTTTCATTGTTCGTCCCCCATTACGACCGCACATAAAAGAAAATGCTATCGATCATACGTCTGTCATTATATAATGTACGAGGCCGGAAAATTCTAATGTATACAGGTTAGAACGTTAGAAAGGAAATGAGTTTCCCTTCCAGCCCTTTCACCCCGCCAGACCCTGATTCCGGCACAAGAACGGGTGTATTTTTCATTAATGAGCTTTAAGCGTTCTCACGTTTTTCCTTCGCTCACTAAAATGCCTTCTCATCGATGCGAAATGTGGAGTGATGTCTATGCAAATTTGGAATACTTGCTTTTTTATCTTTTACATTCCTTCAAATGCAATGGTTCCTAAATTTCTGAAACGGCCTAATTCTGACTTATTGATGAGATAAGTTATTGGTAACACATATTTTGTAAGCCGAGCTTTCCCATGTATCGGTGGTTAGAGCTATAAACTCTCAGTGGTTAAAGTTCGAAAAATGCATTTTATTTAAGTGTGGACGTCAACTGTGATCAGTAGTTCAGTAGCTCAGTATCTCAGTACGAAACACGGAACCCACATATTCACAAAAAGTATAGATTCTGCGTAGAATTGCTTAAGGTGTTATATACAGTTAGGATTTTCTAAAAATAGTTTTTTTAACTTACCGTAGGGTAAGTTATAAAACGTTTCAGAAATTTCTGAACATTTTGGCATACCCGAAATTTTAGCACATCCAGAAAAAATGGATGTATGTGTGTATGGGTGCGTATGTGCATGCGTGTCTGTGCGTGTGCGGATACAAATTTTTGTCGACGATTTCGCGAACACGTATCAACCGATTTGAATAATCCAAAAAACATTCGATTCCTACTGACAAGGAGACGTGCTGATTAGTTTTTGGCAAAGGCAGGTGTGGCCGG